AAGCCATCATTTGTAACTGACTCATTCAATCAAAGGCTAGTTTTTTTGTGCAACAACCAAATTGATGATTCCAACAATCTCACTTGACCAGTTTCCTAACATCCACCAAATGCAAATCTCACAAGTGAGTCTATGCATGGAATTTTCTTGGTACGCGATGATCAAGAAAAATGAGAAAAGAATATCGACAGAGACATTTAGTTTCCTTTAAATTACCAAAGCTGTAAATTTACAACGGCGAAATTCCTCCCTTCACAAGTGAAATACAGGAATGGGTTTCATTTCACCTGCTATGTCATATGATGAACACCCGAAGAAAAGCAGAACAAAAGGAAAGAACAGAGTTTTTTCACATCGAAATTTTATTAGTTCCTTAAGGTGGACCACATAAAGGGTCATTAGCAGAATATTGTCCAAGAGTGCATTTGTAATCACATATTGAATATTTAATAGACAAACTACAAAGAGGTTCAACAAACCAACTGCAAATCTAACCAGTGAGCTCTGTTTCAAGAAAAATTAACAATCAATTAATAGTGGTACCCTAACAATGTAAATGTGAAAGGTCAGTAACCCCAAAAGACAGCAACAAAGAAAAGTTGGCGTTCTTGTTTAGTATCTTGTCCCTTGAAAATCCGCAATTGGCATAGAAAAATTGGACATTTCATCGTGTTCAAGGATTTCTATTGGAAGCAACAAGCCTGTAAATATGCATCACCGTCAACAAAGTTGCAGTAAACAAGAATTAGCGACAACCATCTCGAACACCGCTACAAGGATCACTACCGGTGATCAGGAGAAAAAACAGAGAGCTTATGCTTCTTCAAAATCCGATCTTTCCAGTGAAATATACGTTAACACCATCTCCAAAGGTTAGTTGGGTCTACACGGTTGAGCAAGGAAAGAAACAAGGAGAGCTCAAACCTCACAGATCTTGCCAGTCACCACCTTATTCATCTAAGCCATATTACTGAGGAATCTCGCATGCCAAAGAAGGGCCAGAGGCAGCAGAGCACTCGGAACAGGAATCAGAAACAAACATGCTTAAGGAATCAGCCAAGAGCGCAACTCTCTTTCCTGGAGCTTGGAGATCGCAGGACAAGGACTCGGTGGTGATAAACGTGGACGGTTCGTGGGTGGATAATTGTTTGGAGATCGCAGGACAAGAACATATACTTGTCGGGGAGGACAAGTGGTTGTCGAAAAAGGGGAATTGTTGGGGTCCCAGCCACGAGAAATGAACCTAAGACAGTGGCAGGTCTGATAAACAGAAATGAAGATCGTTGGAACGAGACGAAGTTGCAGGAAATTTCTAGTGAACATAAATCCTCAAAATTCCTATCAAGCGACAAGTAGCAATTGGTTTGGACAGAAGGCACAAAGTCGAGCCTTTTTACCGTGGAAAGTGGCTACAACATAATGCGTAAGGAGGAGGCAGAACATCAGCAAATCAAAGCATCCTCATCCTTCCAGCCCTCTCGTTAATTCATGAAAACCAGATATGGGAAATGCAGACCAGCTCGAAAATCAAAATATTCACGTGGAGTCCATGTCGGAAAAGGCAGATTATACTTGAACCAACGTGCTCTCTCTCTCTCTCTCTGCAAGCAAGAAGTGGAAACAACAGAGCACATCCCTCCTGCTACGTCCCTGGACAAGACGAGTGCGGTCAGACCCTTCTCTCAACTTGCAGATCTCAAGAATGGGTTCCAGCTAGAATTGACAGTTGGGTGCTCAGAGTTACAGAGAACACGGCAACGTCCACCTTCGCTAGAGCAAGTGGGCTACCGCGTCCTCCGGCACGTATGGAAGGCGCGCCAACAGATTCATCCTTCAGGCATCATTCAATCCCCGGCACCCCCCGAGAAGCACATGCTAGAGGAAGTACAGGTTGAGCGGGCAAATTTCAGTACATGGAACCCAAGATCAAAAACCCACAGAGCAAAGATTTCGAAACTCACCGAGGAAGGGTTACTCGGAAAGTGAACACAGACGGGTCGTACGAGGAAGGAGGTTCGGACGGAGCGATCGCATTCGCATGCCGAGACCCTACTGGAAGCGAAGGTCCGCCTCTGCTTTTCATGCCCAAACCCTGGCTCGAAACGAAACTCTGAAGTTTCCGTTGGAGAGGAGACACGAAGAACTGTGCAAATTTACGGGGTCCCCGATATTTGACTCGTTGTCCAGTAAAATTCTTAAATTTTTAATTTATTCGATATAATACTTAAGTTTTTAGTGCATATTCAATTCAATTTTCAAATTATACAAAAATATTCAATATTTATTCTGAACTTGAATTGATAGAAAAACGATATTAAATATTTTCGTATAAATACGTATCAAAAATTTAAAAATTACATTAAATAAATTAAAATTTTAAATATCACATTGTGCATCGGGTAAAGTTCAGAAATCGCATCAATTCAAAATTTATGAAACACGTTGCACGGCCGGGGTTCAGCAATCATTTGTGTTTGGGGGATGCGTCCGCTCATGAGAGAAATTGTTGATATGTTAACCAATTATACAGGGGCCATCTCTGTCTCAGGCAAGGTCTACCCCCGTAATGATGTTCATGTCTAATTGTCTATGTTACGCGCGAACCGACGAATCATTGTGTTTCACTGTTTTGTCAGCCGTCCAATCTAAAATCTATCGGCATCGGCCGTCGGATTGGAGCGCAGCGGCGAGCTTTGCTCAGCTGTCCTTTTTTAGTGCAAGAGTAAAACGACCAACAGACAAAAATTCCTGTTCCTTGCTCTACCAGTTTGAATTTCCCCAGCAAATTATCAGTTTTGTAGAATTCGGTCGAGTGATAAATAGGGAAATAGATGCTGTCTCGAAGTGCAAGAAAGTTCACCTAATTTTAAATAGATTAATACCACCAAAAATCCCAAACTGGTACGCGCGTAACAATTTTATCCCTAACTTTTTTTTTTACCACCAAAAAAACCCCAAACTGATACGCATGTGACAATTTTACCTCGAACTTTTTTTTTATCATCAAAAACCCCAAACTGGTACACCTGTGACAATTTTACCCCGAACATACCACAAAAAATCTCAAACTGGTACACATGTGACAATTTTACCCGGAACATACCACAAAAAACCTCAAACTGGTACACTTGTGACAATTTTACTCTGAACATACCACAAAAAACCCCAAACTGGTACACATGTGACAATTTTACCCTAAACTAAAATTTTAATATTATTTTTTATTTTTTCGAATTTTTATTATTTTTTTGTTTTTTGTTTTTTTTTTCTTCATCTTCAACCTCTGGCCGGTCACCAGACCGGCGACCGACCAGAGGCGGAAGCCGGCGAGGTCGGCCCCGACGGCTGCTGGCGAGGCTCGACCTCGCCGGCGCTAGCGAGGACTGCCCTCGCCGGCGTCGGGCAAGGCCAGCCCTCGCCTAATACGGGCGAGGGCGGCCCTCGCCGGCGTCGGGCGAGGGTCGTCCTCGCTCGCCCAAAGTGCGAGCGTACTCGCCCGACGCGGCGAGGGACCCTCGCCTCGAGGTCGGGCGAGGGCCGACCTCGCCTGGGCGGGCAAGGACAGACCCTTGCCCGACGCCGGCGAGGGCCGCCCTCGCCAGATCCAGCGAGGGCCGCCCTCGCCTGAGTTGGGCGAGGGCAGCCCTCGCTCGCGTCGGCGTGGTCGAGCCTCGCCAGCAGCCAGCGGGGCTGACCTCGCCGGCTTCCGGCCAGAGGTTAAAGATGAAGAAAAAAAAAAGAAAACAAAAAAATTAATAAAAATTCGAAAAAATAAAAAAATAATATTAAAATTTTAGTTTATGGTAAAATTGTCACATGTGTACCACTTTGGGGTTTTTTGTGGTATGTTCAGGGTAAAATTGTCATAAATGTACTAGTTTGAAGTTTTTTGTGATATGTTCGGAGTAAAATTGTCACAAGTGTACCAGTTTGGAGTTTTTGGTGGTCAAAAAAAAGTTCGGGGTAAAATTGTCACACGCGTACCAATTTGGGATTTTTGGCAGTATTAACCCTTTTAAATATTTATTAACTCGGCAATCAAGTATATACGGTTGTCTTCTTCAATTTGATACGTCAGTGTATAGAAAACTTTTTCGGTGTCATCTTTCGATACTTATAGGTTATCTAATTATATTTTTCATAAATGCATAATATCGATACACAACAAACAATTTTTATTTACTTTTTGAAAGTAATGATCTATTTAGGAGACTGACTCTGATTAATTTATTTTGTATATTTAACATAACATAGTTTCATTTTATTACGAAAAAAAAAAGCATTTTGCTTTCAGTTTATACCAAAATAATATGACTCGTAATAAAACGTGATTTGTGTAATGCATTTGAAGCCACCGGCCTGCGATACCAGAAGTCGGGAAAATAACACTCTGGTCGTGAAGGAGGTGGAGAAGAATGCTCCTGCCGGCAGTGGCGGGAGGCATGGCAAAGCCTGTGGTTTTCAAGTATTTTCCTCTGTCCAAAGCGACGGAAGAGTTCCATATCGGCAAAGATACTACTCCTTCCGTTATGTCGTAGGTATTGTGACTAGAGAACAGCCTGGATACAAAGTTCTTCCAGAGTCATCGGCAGGGCGCCTGCTGCACCAGAAAGGAAGAGGCTACTTTCGATTAAGTCATCATCGGGTCCTTCGCATGTGCACCTCTATAATGTTCAGTGAAATTTATACATCCGGCTTGCGGGAGATGTTAAGAGTCTGGTGCAAAATTTTGTACATGGTGGCTTCTACCTGAAGCCGTTTCTTATAGTGGCGGTATCTGCTTGGTCCGTCTTGATGAACGCTTATACTTCATCAGAAAAAGGAAAAGCAAGTTTTACAGCAACGAGAATTGGATCTATAGACAACTTATATGATATGAACACAAAACACACTAGTTCATCAAAACCTATGTGCACCCATAAAGAGTAACATTAGTCTATGCAGTGCTTGAGACCTTACCCGTGGATTGCAAACAAAAAAGATCAATAGCAAGGTCACGGTAAAGGCAAAACAAAGTGTGTATTTCTCTCTTTTTCTCCAAAAGTTTCTCTTATCTTCCCCCCTACAAAAGGAACAGAAAAATGGCAAAGAAGACAATCTACAAAATAGCATAATCTGCAGGTTTACATAACTCCGGGGACTCCACAAGTCTGGTGTATTTTGCAATTAGCAAATTCATTAGGTCAGACTTTCAAACAGATAAGAGGAGCTACCGTTTGTGCACCAAAGACAACAATGCACCATCCCCACCAATTTTATCTCGAAAACAAAAGCGATGTGCACATTTACTTGATTTCAGGCGCACTTCATGCCGCAGTGTAAGATGAGGAAGCCTTGGATCTTATTGCCTGGACACAGTCACATATCCGACACAGACCATAGGTAAGCCTCTCTCTCTGATGCTCGTTTCTCGTTCGTCCTTTTGAATAGTTCCTTCTCATAACCTGCGTTAATGTGGGAGACAGGATAAACAAAGTAAGCACCATATGCTAAGCATGCTTCTGTACTCTAAATCTACAAAAGATTTCTCCTTCCTTCCCAGGGCAAGGACCAAAATAAATGTTTTCAGCCTCCAGGAATTTACGAAAAGCATGACATGCAAAAATAAGAACCCACCAGTACTACGATCGACTCCATCCCAGTGTCTTCCTGGTCTTATACCATATCGATTTGGAGCAGCTTCCAATCCCCTTTTCAACCAGCTGTGACTGGGAATGTCCTGAGGAATTACAAATCCTGATTCCTTCATCTTCTCATCATCCCCAAAATCGGCAAGCGCTGGCTCCAAATGTTTTTTCTGTATCAGAGGAAAGGAAAAGACTTATTAAATCAATACATTTATATCGTATTTTGTCAACGCTAACATTAGTAACTTGATGAACTACCTTTACTAAGTGTGCCATGGGATCTCCCCATCTAAGTCTGTCCTTTAGCATTTTATCGAGTTCTGGATCGTCTCTGCCAATTAAAAATGAAGTCAGAACCAAAAAAAACGATATGAAACAATTAGAGAACTTCCGCTTTTGAGCATTATAACCTAGCAGCTTGCCCATCCTTTAGTCTAATTGACTATGTCTAGACTAAATCTTCCCAGCGTCCACACAGGCATGCCAGTGCCCCCTAAAAGAACATTCCACATACAGCTTCCTATATAAACAGTTAATGCAGTAGTACAATTTGTAAACAGCAACCCTAAAAGCAACAAAAAGCAATATATGAGAGCGTGTTAAAGATGTCGATACAATTTATGGTAAGGAGAAAAGGAAGAAGTGTAATAGTGCTGGAAGCGGTGGTGTTAGTGGTTGTGGCAGTGGTTGCGGTAGTGGTAGCTGTGGTGGTGGTGGTCATCACAGTGGTGAAGGTTGCAGTGGTGGCAATAGCTTTGACAGTAACTTGACAATGTCAGGTGATAACTTAATGCCACATGCATTTTCCACCCAGTGAGATTGGACAAAGGGCACCATAAAAAGCAAGGTACATGTTACAAAACTATTGTGTGTGGCTAAATTCATTGGATGTTCCATGCAAAAGCTAAGAAATAACATCTCAGAGATTGCAAAATAGGAAAGACGGTATGCTGCAAATGGGAAGACTCCAGGACTAATAATGTTCCACTCTCCTCTACGAGTGTTGTCTGGCCATTTAGTCTCGTATTTCCCTTCACTACGTCCTCACCCTTTTTGTTTTCCGGAGAAAAGCAATTTCATCATCTCATCTTTTTCCTAGAGAAAAGAGTGTTTGCCAAATTACAGCTTGGTATATTTTTAAGGACTATTTCAAACGTTCCCAAACAAAAAATAAAAGAATCTAAAATGCTCCGTGTCATTATGCAGAGGAAGTGGAAGATAAAATCAGAAGTAATTCTTTGTTTTTCATTCCTCATAGATATCTTGCCAGCTTTCCAGTAACAAAGGAGGAAAGAGATATCGAAAACTCTTTTTCTCTTTTTCTGTTCTCTCAAATAATGAACAAGAATGCTATTCCTCTTACCTAGTCCGAGCAAATGGTTTGTCCTTTTCACTTTCTAGTTCCTGCAGCCTCTCTTCTGCTTCCCGTTTTTGTGCCAAACCCTTGCCCCACTCCAGTTTCTTTTCCTGAGAAGGGAACACATCAGAAAAACTAAAAGAATCTCATGCAATTGGACCTTAACAGGGACATCACTGACGGAATGAAAACAAACCTGAAATTCCATGATAAAAGTAGCAAATAATGTAGTAAAGCAATAGATTAATTTAGTATCATGACAGGCATAAAATTGTTTGTTTCCTGAATCTTCCAAGGTTTGCCCATGGTGTCAAACTATTATCCACATACCTTTTTTCAAGTCAGTTAATTTAAACAATTATGAAGAGAAAGGGAAGTACCAATTCTTTTTGGAGTTTACCATAATGAGAAGCAATATGAATACAAGTAGTTTGTAAGTTTATACAATCCATGTTTTCCTGATGTCTGACATAATAGTCACAATAACAACCAGTCAGGCATACAGCTATTTATTCAAGATACGCCAAAAGAGTTTTATATTTCCATTCACATAAAAGTCAACTCAAAACTTTGTTATCAATCAACTACAAAAGATGATGAAATAGAAATTATGGACGCACAAGATTGCTGCCAGTGCCTCCTCAAAAATACCTTGGGCTTTTCTTCTACTTTCTGTTGTGACTTTAGGACCTCCTCCTTTGATAAGCGTCTTCCTGTAGAACTGTAAGTCAGGCCAAGACTTATGGCATGTGCAGGAGCATCACTGTTAAAAATTCCATTTAACGATAGTTACCTGTCAATTTATCCCGATATACAGCCTCAGCTCCTTTCCCAGTTTCAGAAGCATCCAATGCATTAAACCTGAGAAAGCATGAATATATTGTTCTCAGAGAAGCTCTAAGCAGAAGCTACTTTGCTAACAGAAAAGATGCTAATTATGTAAAGAAGAACAATATATGCTAGCAGAATAAATCTTGAATGTTGAACTGGATGGCTACAAAATGCATTATGTGAAAAACACACAATAACTACCAAAGTACCAACTATGAAGTTATTCAAAATAGAGTAACCAGACTTAAAGAACCAAATGGCACCCATGCCATCAAATAAAGATGCACAAGTACTTCCTAGCTATTGAGAATAGATTATTACAACAAAGCTGAGAAGAGTAAAAATGACAATTCGAAAAAACCAGGTCCACAGGAAAGTTCTCAAACAAAAGAAGCTCCATGGATAAGAAATGCTAGAGTTCAGGTGAAAAATCTTCCAGTTGCTGCAGGAAGGCCAGCAACTGGTCATTATGGGATGAAATTGGCTATTAAGGCCTCCAGCATCAAAATAATGGCTGCAATGCCTGAGATATTTTTCACGCAGCTAAAGTGGGATGATCAAGTGAGCTTATGCATACAGGTAAATATTGTGCATCAGACATCTCAGCTACAACAAGAAGCGAATAAACACCGATGCCTTTACATAGAAGCATCAGCTAATACTCTCCCTATCAAAATCATGCTCAAAAGCAGGAATTTTGAACAAGCGCCATCTACATTTAAGTTTTCTCTAATCCAAAGAGATCATGCTCACTGTGTTCAAATTAAAACACACACACAAATAGAGAGAGAGAGAGAGAGAGAGAGAGAGAGAGAGAGAGAGAGAGAGAGAGAGAGAGACCTCAACCACTCGTCCTTCTTAATTTTAGCCATGGCCTTGCTGATGTCTTTACCAGAAATTAGTCCGGTTGCTCCCTCTTTTGTGTCCGCAGAACCAGACAAATTCTTCCTACTTTTTCTCGGTGGAGAAAGGTCAGAAGCAGAAGGAAGTGAAACATCAATTTCCTCTGATAGACGACCCGCAGGATGATCAGGTGATGACTGCTTCCCACCACCCTTCCGGCTTTTCCTTGGCAGTGCCAGATCTGAACCCTCAAAATAAGGGCCAACTGAGGGTGAACTTCGTAAATCAGGATCGGGAGGAGTGCTATGACGTCGCCGACGTTGCCTTGGAGGTGATAAATCAGTGTCTTTTCTACCAAAATCTGCATCATCCACATGTGGCTCAGATGATGGTGCATCCGATGTAGCCCTCCTTCTACGAGGTGGAGATATATCAACATCCGATATGATGGATCTCGTAGACTTAGAAATTCTTTCAGGTGATGACATACGTCTCAGCTGCTGCCTAGGGGGAGATAAATCAGTATATTCCTTGCCAGAAAATGGCTGCTTAGGACCAGGTTCTGGTGAGGGAGAATCATGTCGCACCCTCTTCCGACGAGGAGGGGACATATCAAACTTTGTTGCATTTAAATCCGTAAGTTCTGCACCAGGTCCAGGTGAGGGAGTATCTTGCCGTCTCCGACGTGGTGGTGACAGAGCAGCATCAGCAGGACCCGAAGGCTCTAGTCCATGTTCTGGTGAAGGTGTGTCATTCCGAGACCTTAAACGAGGTGGAGACATGTCGGCATTTTGATTAACTAAGTTGGAGGAATCTGAAGAAAGTGAAACCCAGCCACTCCCATCATCAGAAATTGAGTGATAAGGACGTCTGGACTTGAGAAGCTCCAGCCTTCTCATTCGCTTCACTTCAATGTCTTCATCAATTTGGGGCTTTGCTTCATCTATGAAACAGAACATACAAGCATGAACATCAGGGACCATTAGCTTTATTTCTCATCTCTTTCTAAGACAAAAAAAAGTACATCAATTGAGACTTTAGACATCAAGAGAAACACAATCACTTTTTTACCAGCTGAATCATCACTATTTTCTTCTTCTGTGAGATTTACGGGCTTCTGCCAAACTGGATCTTCATCCACAACTAAAACCCCAGCAGCATCTGTTCTCGGTTTCTTCTTTTTCTTCTTCTTCTTCATCTTTTCTTGATCCACAGTACTTTCATACCGCTTCAAATATTCTTTGAGGGACTTTGGACCTGAGGTTGAGGCTGCCATTCTTTTTTATGCAACTGCTACTTCCTAGAGTACAAGGTTAAAGTCAAGAAAATATATATATGTATATCTCCAAGATATGAAATTATCACAAGAATGAAGAGCAATATCTCATTAGACTCCATAATAGTTTAAAGATGAATTAGAATCCAAATGCTAGTCATAAAAGATGGAAAAAGCGTTTCATATGAGCATCAATCCATATCTTCTCTCATAATCACCAAAATTCAAAACAATATCTTTAATGCCCACCAAAAGGATGAAATTATCACAACAATGAAGAGCAATCTCATTAGACCCCATAAAAGATAAAGCAACTCATACTTCTGCATCCATAATCATAACATTTCAAATTTCACGCCTAAATCAAACACAACACATTTATTAAACTTGTCACATGCTATGAACAGTTTCCCAATTATCATGAAGAAAGGAGTTTGAATGTATGTGAACATATTTAAATGCCTAAATGTGTCATACAATGATACAATCACTGTAATATGATAACTTGCTTAACTATTTTCATCTAAATGATATTTAAGAGGATTAAGAGGTCATCCCATATACATGACAACTTGTTTAACCAACCGCATACAATTGTCGTTGAAGGGGTTAAGAGGGTCGACCAGTATGTAATACATTTATTTTTCATGAAAGAACAAGAAGTCTGTTTATAATATAAACACGCTGAAGCTCAAACCAGAGCATGCAAAACCATGCGTCATGAATGCGTCATTTTATGAAACAAAAGACCGCACCCAGCCCTAACCGACCCTTATAATTCACGTTGTATACAAGGGCCATCCTCCAACTAGTAAACAAGAATTGACATGGAGCGAAATCGCAAGAAAACAATCGAAGGAACAGCAGGTAGGGGGATGGCCAAAATGCCCACAACAAAAAAGAAGATGTGAAGCACAGGGGGATCAAATTAAACCCATTTCTAGGCACCATCATGTCATCATCACAATACTCAAACCTCAGTCAATCTGATATTGAAAACCAAGCGTAACGAAGCTCAAAGAAGCATAAACCTAAACATGTCAAATGCACCCCCGACAACAAAAAAAAAAAAATGCACCCCCAACGAGCATAGTTGTATACAATACAAACACGCTGAAGCTCAAGCCAGAGCACGCACAATCATGCGTCATGTATGCCTACTTTCACGAATCAAAAGACCGCACCCAGTCCGAACCGACCCTTATAATTTATGTTGTATACAAGGGCCATCCTCGAAGTAATAAAAAAGAATAAACACCGAGAGAAATCGCAAGTAAACGATCGAAGGAACAGCAGGTAGGGCGGATGGCCGCAATGCCCACAACACAAAAGAAGATGGGGAGCACAGGGGAAATCAAATTAAACCCATTTCTAGGCACCATCATGTCATCCCCACAATACCCGAACCTCGTTCAACTCTGATATTTAAAAACCAAAGCTGCGACGGAGCTCAAAGAGGCATAAACCCAAACACGTCAAACGCACCCCCCCAACGAGCACAACTGTACAAACCCAAAGTAAATCGGGGGAAAGACCCAGTAGTATAAGGGCGATTCTGCAGCGGAACAAGCATCATGCGAAAGAAAGAAAGAACAAATTGCAGCCCACTTCGTTACAGAGCGCATCGACAGGCTTCAATTACCTTGAACAGAACACAGACCGGCATGTTGGAATCAATGGAAGCATCAGGAGAGAGGGAGAGAGAGAGACTTACAGGCGAGTCGGTGAGGGAAGAGCGATGGCGAGCTCGGATTTGCAAAACCAGCTGCAGAAGCTCCTATAGAGAGAGAGAGAGAGAGAGAGAGAGAGAGCCCAATTAGAGAAAAAAAAAACCCCTTTAAATTTAAATGCCGAAAAATATATATTAATTAATTTTAATGATAATTTCAACGTGACTAAGGAGAAATCAACAAAATGAAAAATAGAGACATGATATGTTTTCTTCCATCATTTGATGTTCTAAAATCAATTTCCAAATACCCTCTTTTGGGCCAAAATTTCCCAATATTTACACTTTGAATTTGAATAGAATAGAATAAATTGAGATGATAAATCTCTCGAATTTGTAACTTAACATTTTTATTGGGATTGACACTAGGTATATGGATGAGTACGACATATCCTATCTTGACAGTGGCCGTTACATTTAAAGATTGGAGCTGATAAAAATTAAGTAATCAGATAAAAAGTAACTTGGCAAGAAAATAAAAATTTATTTAAAAAAATCGTCCGTCTAAAGGCCGTCAATGGATGGGCCTGCATCGGGCATAATTTGTTGCCTAAGCCTGCCCACAAACATAAATTTACAATATTCCTTTCGAGGCTCGGGCAACTTATCTAGAGACCAATTGAACCGAATCGAATCGTATGAATAAAAGCTTTTGCCCAAGTCTACCCAATTTTCCCTTCAAGCCCTTATGACACGGGCAAGCCTATGCTACTTGAGGATTGACATATCCATGATCGAGTCTGCCTAAAACTACTGGTAAGAGAACCACCACACAAGCAGTGTCTCCCTCATGATTATGGACGGCAATCACCCTAGTTTACACAAAGATCGAGACTCTCAATGAGAGCTAATCTCAATGGTTACGGATTCCTTATTAAATGCTATGTGCATTTTAATCAAATTCGTTTTCAATCTTTTTCTATCATTAAGGTGAAGCTCAAACTATTCTTGTTTGTCGGTTATTTGAATTATATTTGAATTGAGGGATAAAAGAAAAAGGTTGCAATACACAATAAAGTCAAAAGTTACAAAATTAATGAACTTTGTACTCAAAGGATTTTGTTATGTTTTATTTTCAAATCAATTGAATTTTTAAATGGAAGTATTTCCATTTATATTCTCAATTAAATGGATTTCTTTGAATCATGTATGCTACATTTAGAATGATGCTCCGTTTGAATCGAGGAAAGTGAATGATTTGAAAAATATTTTTCTAAAAAGAATCGCTTATATCGCTTACAAAAATAGATGAACGGAAAGTATTTGCATTGGCCACGAAAATGTTTGAATATTAGCGAAAATAAAAAAACTTATCATTGGCGAATTATCTTAAGCGATACAAAAGATCATTTTCAGGAAAATATTTTTCAAATCATTCATTTTTCACGAAACAAACGAAGTCTAAATAGACTACAAAAGGCAGAAAAAAGACTAGCTATAATGTAAGTAATTTGTGTTTTAACTTAGTTTGTCACTGTATATGTATTAAAATTCGTCTAGGAATGACTTGCTGCATTCTCAAGGAGTTCCTTCCGTTGATGTTCTTTAGAGGCAAGTCAGACTTGCAGCAAAACATAGATTCGAAGGCTGTGTTGAGTTGAAGTAACTTCTCCACTTCACCAGCAACAACGCATTAATTGGGGTTATCCCTTGGTGATTTAACTTAGAAGTCTGCTACTTGGCCAGTATCAAGCAAGCCTCTTTTTCGTAGGAAAAGGCGACCGGCGGCAATCACTTCTATCACTTCTATGAAACATTGTAATCGGAAATAGCTACTCCGTAACACTCACGATCGACAATCCATGATTGGCAAACCTATCATTAGACCTATCACCGTAGCCTCATCAAGATCGTCAAGATGCTAGCAGCTACAAAGTCTCTCCATGCGACGATTGCATTACCTATCCACAAAAGAGGACAAAAATATTGAGTCCATGATATCATGTTACCATTTAACGGCACTGGGTCGCATCCAGCAAGACCTTTCTCTATATTTCTCCTAAGCAGAACACACAGAGCCTTTGCCTATGGTAGATTCATACTGTTTGCTATAAAATTTATCACCTTTATCCTCAAGATGCGAGTGAAAGATACCTGACTAGACCATGCTAGCTAAAAAATCAATTCGCGACCAGCCTCTTACCATCACTTGCATGGCCAGTCTACATAGCATATGCAACAGTGGGCCTCAAGCCAAGCAAGCAATAGGAAGAAGTATGATTTGTGCGTCCTTGTTCATGGTAACTAAGGAGTCTGGGGCAAGATTTTGAGCAGAAGCAGAAAGTACATAGCAAAAACATTTCAAGCAAGCTGCATGCAACAAATTGCAGCAGGGAAGAAAATGGATATGCATATAGAGGAATCTAGTACATCCTTGCATCTCAAACTACCGAGATTTGAGAGGTCACTAATGGATTTATGTCTATCTTCTGTACATCCATCGAGAACTAAAAGTACAAAATTAAAGTACTTAAAAAGAGCCAAGGCATATAGAAAGAAACATTAACCAATAACAAAATCTGCACCCGTCTCTCGGTGCATCCAGAAAATACCTTGAACTTACTTCCCAAGTGAATACAATGAACATGTATGTGGTCTGATGAAATTCAGGGTCTACTCACATCACTCATTCTTCTTTAGCTTCATCTTGGATTCGGCGTCCCCGCTGTAAGGTGCAACATGGTATGCATACTGCTGGAGTACGGAGAACACAACCATCTCCATACATACCAAGACATTCTGAATAGCTTCTTCGATGTGCTCCACGTCCAGCCAGAAATGATGCGATTTAAGGATTCCAACTGCAGCTAGTATTTCGAGCACGACTCCCTGCAAGAAGTCAAACAATGCCAATTACAAACAAGCGCCACTTTCCAGTAAACAGGATTAAAGGTTACTCACATAGAATAGACAGGGGACAAGCTTTTAATTTAAAAAGAGGGAGGAAAGGAAATGTCCAGGGTGAAGTCTCAGGGTGGAGAATCCTTATGGTATGTGGTGAAATATAAGTTGAGGCGTCAATCGAAGAGCTTTCTTATAAGTAAAGCTAAATAACATAAATAAGTTGAATATCTAGCTAAGTGAATCTATTGAGAGAAGAAAGAGGATAAGAAGTTACCTGCCAAAAGCAGAAGAAGACAATGCCCTTGATGCACATGAATTTTGCAAGAGGCTTGTGTGGCGCCAGCTCCTTATCAAACACGTGATAGAAGACCACCAGGGAATACAAGGCCAGTGAAACTGAAACGTTGAGAATGATGGTGAATGTCCAACTTAACCAACTGGGGTACATCCCAAGAACCTGAAGCGTAATCATTAACAAGGAACATGCAGGACGGATGACAACAAACTGCCATGTCCAGTATTTGAGAAGCTTAAGTACATGATGGTCTAACCGAACTGTGCGAGGCTGCAAGTTGAAAGATAATCATGTCATAAATACGAAATTTAAAAGAGATTGAAACTGGTTGAAGACTATTCCAGTCAAAAAGTTCGAACAAATATCAAAGAATGTGCTGCCTTCCAAATATCCTAATGAATGCCGAAAAGAGCTGTGAGAAGAAAGAGGTCAAAGATCCTCACTTTTGCCCCATTCTTGAAATTAATGTAAATCCATGAGAAGATGGTTGTTCAAAAACAAGAGGAGCGTATAAAATCTCCATTAGGTGTTTCCTCCAACCAATTCCCTGTTAATGGGTTATGTACCTTAGTTTGAGTGCCACCCTCTCAGCTTTTAAAAACACAGAGAGAAAAAAGTCCCATTATCTGCAGTTTACAAGCTGAAAAATAATCAAGAAGAAGAAAAGGTCCGCACCTGGAAAAGTGTCATTGGGAAAGAATGGTGAATTTCCCTTCCCTTGATCCCATCAGGTACTATGTTTTTGCTAATGGAAATGTTCAAGTAACTATACATCAGAGCCATGAACTTGGCAATCACCTGCGTGCAGAAAGTCAAGCACTTGTCATAAAGGAAAAGGCCAACGGCAAAGCGCACATAATTGTAAGCAGCTAGCACTCACCAGAGCTTCATAACATTCCTTAACCGCATCCAAGAACATGAAAAATGCTTTGCTCCCTTCTATATCCAACAAGCCAATAAAAGAGTCGACTGCATATATGGGCGCCATAAGGATGATAATGATTATGGCCTTTTGTTCCTTGGGGTTCTTCCAATAAAAGAGATGCTGCGAGAGGAGCTGAACCGTGAAATGCATGGAAAGCATTACGCTAAATGCAGACCCAAATACAGTGATCTGCCCACGATCTAGCGTGCTTAAATCCATTATTCAGCAGCGGTATCGAGAGATAAAATCAGGATCTGCAAAATCAATTTCATAAGTCCTCTGATCCCATATTTGCCGAACATGAGTAAAGTACAAATGGTCAAACCTCAAGACAGGCGCATCCTGAAAGGCAAAACACATGCAGGGGACTTGGGGACAACAGAAGCATTACAAATCGAATCAATGTGTGCAGAAGTTCTACGAGGACAATAATCACGGGAATGGGATGCACGGAACAGAGCGCCGCCGAATCCAACGTGACCAGATCTGCTCTCTGCTTCTCATTTCATCTCAATAAAAGCATGGCAGCCCAACATGAACCCTTTCGAGCACCCTCTCTTCATGCAATGTTGCCACAAAATAAACACCAAGTCCTATCCAAATTTACAGAGAAACCGAAAAGATCAGACCATCTGCACGGTCGACAACGGCCCCTCCTCCTCAACATCAGTTCAAGCCTCTTACACTTCACATTGGGTATGCTAGAACACCCAGTACTAAGCATTAACATGTCTTCTACCTTTCTCCATGAGAAACCATCGCATGTACGAATTTAAGAACAGAACCAGTCGACGGAACATTTCGGGGCATAATCAATCCGCCATAGCTGATGTGCGTCAAGAACGGCAGGTCCCGAATCAAATGCACGTAATTTGGAGTTGCAAGCGGATTAAACGAAAACCCATCTCTTTACACAAACTAAAAATCCTAAACTTTACAATTCGTTCGATCTTGTCAACGCGAGCTCGACGATTCCTAGGATTAATCTAATCAAGAAAGAAAATGAAACTAGTGAAACGCTACACGAGAGCGACGGACTCACTGGATCACCAGAAGTAGAATCGAGTTGAGCGCGAGATCGGAAGATCGGCGAGGTTCCCGGGAGCCGCCTGCGCCTACTCCGACGAAGGTCTTGCCCGGCAAGTGCAACCAATGGGAAAGAGCGCCGCCTCGAAGTTCTCCACGCGCCGCCGAGCACGGCCGAGTTCAACCGCCCCGGGCAGGTCCGTTGACTTTGCTCCGACGGATCTGACGTGGCGAACGGGGACAACACCCTTGACGGCGATGTCGGAAAGAAGAGTGACACACACATATATATATACACGAACATTCCAATTCCATATAAGATAGAACGATCGAGGAAAAATTATATCGTCGGTCCAAAACTTGTGCAAAATGGGATCAAATTTCCACCCATTTAATTTGTGCACTTGAGTCCTAACTTTAAACTTACATTGAAAAAAAGTGAAATTTAAAACTGTCACCATCATCTTAATATCTTATGATGCGACGGAAATAATTATACATATTGTTCGTCCAACGAACTTAATTACACTTTTCGAAAGAATAAAAAATTTAGAATTCAATTTAACTTAATAAAATGTTTAAGAGTTGATTACATTTCCTACATGAGATTTTAAGCTTCGTGTGCCCTTTTTTTGAAAAATCGATGTGAAGAAATTAATTTGGTTCGTACATAGAGAAAAGTACCAAAAAAATCATAAACTTATTACATTTATACCAATTCAGTCATAAACCTTTTAATTGAATCAATTTAATCTTGAACTTCTTTATATTTGTATCAATTCAGTCAATCCCGAAATCGCTGACGTGGACGCCGGGCGTTCTACGTGACACGGCCGACAGACTGTTGGCGTTGATGTGGAATTTTTAAATAATATTTTAATCTTTTTTAAAAATTTTAATATTTTTTTTCCTTTTTTCCCTTTCTTCTCCTTCCTTGGGCCTATGATCGGTTGGCCGACGATCGACCACATGCGAGGGCATCACGGCCCTTATCGGATCTGGCGATGGTTGGACCCTCGCCCAAGCCGGCAAAGGCCACCCTCGCAGCTCGTGGCTTGGGGGAGAGCCCCCTTTATCGGGGCTGGACCCTCGCTTGCGATGCCCTCGCCGGCCCTCACCTGTGGTCGAGTACTAGCCATGGGCACAGGAGAAGGAAGGAAAAAGAAAAAAAAAGAAAAGGAAAAATAAGGAAAGAAAGAAAAAATATTTAAAAATTATTGAAATTGTCCACATCAGCGCTGCCCGTGCCACGGAAGATTGGCGTCCACATTAGTGATTTACAGCCTAAATTGGCTAAATGGACTGAATTTGTATTAATGTGAAAAAGTTTATGATTAAATTAGTCATATTAAAAAGTTTATGACTGAATTGGTACAAACGTAATAAGTTTATATTTTTTTTGGTATTTTTTGCCTTGTGCCCATCCCTATATAAACTAAAGTAGACATTAATATCCAAATTGACCCTTTTTGCCTTTGCTAAATACATGATATACGGCGTTATTAGTCTTGCCCTGCCCTTGCGAACCCAACCCGTCCATATATTAAAGAAAATGATTTTGAAAGATTCTCCTCCGGAGAAAGTACATGTGAAGGTGATATTACAATCCTTTGGGTATGCCGGTATGGTATCACCGCATTCGTCCAAATTTCATGATTCAAAACTCTTACCCTATCAACAAAACGTCAAGATATGATTGCCTATGCAACATGTCGATACCGCATTGGCAAACACGTGGTAGCCGCTACTAACGCTCGTCACTGATGGCTCACTGTTACAATGTCGTATCGCCATCGATGGCCGACCGCCACCACCACTGACGTCGGCAACGCCCTCTTGGCAGGCTTAGGGTCCTTCATGGACCTGTGCTTTTCTCTGGGCTCGGGGCCTCGTTTCGGCTCTTGGCATGGCGTCGGTTGCTTCTGGCCCGGCCGATCAACGTCCAGGAAACTTCACAGCGAATGTAATGGACGGAGAAAAGTAAAAGAATACGATGAGATACACGAAAAGGGCAAACAAAAATGGCGGCCGTCCAAAAGAAGGCACGAGGCGTGATGTTTGCCCACTAGTAGAATAAAGTTACGGCAGAGTCAACCATTTTCCTCATCTCTCTTCCTTTATCTTTCCGGCCTCCCCCAGAGCGAGAGAGAGAGAGAGAGAGAGAGGGGAGAAGAAACGAATGAGGGCAACGGCCGGTGCTGTCACATCAACGCGTGTGTTGGGAACCCAGGTCGTATTTTTCTCAGGAGAAGAAGAATCCTTGCCACCTCCGCCACTCAGAAACAAGCACGAACCCACCACGCAAAGGGGCGAGAGAGAATAAGTAGAAGTCAATCAAAGGCGGAGGAAAAGAAAAGAACCCCACTTTGCCATCTCTCTCTCTCTCTCTCTCTCTCTCTCTGTAGGATTCTCATTGAGAACAGGGTACGAGTTTCTGCAGAGAAAGGTGGTGGAAGTTTGTTTGGTCGTAGGCATGAACGGGAAGGCCAGCGTTTCCAAGGAGCTTAACGAGAAGCACAGAAAGGTTGGTCCTTGAGCTTTTATCGGCTTTATTGCCACGAGCTTTTGACTCTTCGAACGTTTCTTTGCTTTTGGGCTGGTTCGATTCTCTTCGTTCATGGGTCTGCTCGTTTTGGCTTGGTTATTGATTCTTTCTCATCTTTTTCTTTCCAACGACTCTCGTGATACAGCATGTAATGGAGGTTGAGTTGAGTTTTCAAGATTGAATGATTGCGACGTTTTGAGTTCTGATTTGTGTTTTCTGCTGATGCATCTTTAATTCCTGTATTAGCTTGTTTTTTGCTCATTTGGGTTGCTATTCCGTGCTTGATATGATTTAGCTTTTTGCTCCAATCTGAAACCGTTGCGTTATAGCGTGGTTTTACCTGGTTCATGGATTGGTTGTTGACTCTAACGAGGCATTGGGTGCTTAAAGCAGAGATTTGCTTCAATGTTTTCTCAGTTAATCCGGTTCTCCCAAAACTTTAAACTTGATTGCAATTCATGATTATATAGTTTAGTGTTCGGGGAATTGTTGTTCTTTGACCAGAACGTGAACCACCGAAATGAAACACCTTTTTTATTTTATTTTTTTATTTTTTTGGGGTTTTAATTCGAGTTTATTTGCTTGAGCTAATTGTCTTTTGAGTGGAGTAGTTGTCTGTCTTGTTTAAAGGAGCTTCTAGTGCTGAGTCATGAAATTTGTATCCAATAAGATTATATAAAAATAGCTGTATTATTCAAGCGGTTGGTGACATTTGGTGATTCGATGATCACTAATTTTTCTTCAGCATAGGCCCACAATTTGAGTTGTGTTTCATTAACAAGTCAATTATGGGTATTTGGATGATGTATTTTAATACAGTACCCAGCTGTCTATTTTATTTGACCTTCTGCTTTGTTTAGTGACCAACTTGTGAAGAACTGCGACATCCTTGAATTCTAATTGGTTGAACTGCCTATAAGCTTAGTCTATGAAGTCTGTTCTTGTTCAACTAGTTAGTTTGATATAAGGTCTGAACCTGTTCTGGCGTCCCCCTATTTTTATACTCATAAAAGTCGACAGCATTTGATGTGTATCTGTCCTGTTTGTATAGATATCCTTGCACTTAAACGTACAAATGTGAGTGTGTACATTCATATGCAATAGAAATATTATGTGTGTATATCCATATGTACATAAACGTGTCAGAGGATCAATCTCTGGTAAAATGAATTTACAAGTACTTTTATGTGCACAACTCGAGGAGGAAGATTTTGACAATGTTCCTAGTGCTTGTAGAAAACGGGCCTCATATGTGGACGTGATAAATATCCTTTTATGAATAAAGTTATTGACTAAACTATTTTACATTAGACACCAAGGATCAAAACTTAATACCCCTTTAATGAAATTCTAGTGGTAAAATTGTATGCCAGTAGCCTGAGATTACCTGATTGTACGTGTGATGATACATTTGCTCTCTCTCTCTCTCTCTCTCTCTCTCTCTCTCTCTCTCTCTCTCTCTCTCTCTCTCTCTCTCTCTCTCTCTCTCAGTGTTGCTCTTCCCCTTTCAGAACTTCTTCTATTTTTCTCCCTGGCCAGACCCCTTCAGAACTTTTACTTGACTTGTATTATTTATAGCTTTCCATATTCTTATGGAGGACTTTGCTTCATCTCATTACAGATATTGGAGGCTCTCTTTAAATTACCAGAGAACAGGGAATGTGCTGACTGCAGAAACAAGTAGGTATCCTGTGTGGTGGTTGTTATGAAGTTGTGTCATAGTGGTGATCAATAAATGTTAGAAGGGAGAATACTATTTAATCTCTAATCTATGAGTACTAACTTGTTTTTCATGTGACATCTGCCATTGTTTTGGTTATTTCAAGCTAAATGACGAATCTGACTTGTTTGATATGCAGAGCCCCACGATGGGCTAGTGTGAATCTGGGAATATTTATATGCCTGCAATGTTCCGGAGTACATAGGAGTCTCGGAGTACACATATCAAAAGTACATACTCTTCCTCTTGCTAATTTGATGGTCATACCAATACACTAAAAAGTCTTACAATGTTCATCAAGTGCATGTGTTCTCGCCAATATGTAGGCCTCACAATTTTAACTTACTTTGATCCAGGTGAGATCTGCTACTTTAGACACATGGCTCCCTGAGCAGGTTGCTTTTATTCAGTGTAAGCTCCCCTGATAATTTCACTCATTATGTTCTACTACTGACCATTTTAAAATAATGTAATGTTAATCGGGTGATATTAAGACTTTTTTTTTCTCTATTAGCTATGGGGAACGAGAAAGCGAATAGCTATTGGGAAGCAGAGTTGCCTCCGAACTACGGCAGAGTTGGAATCGAAAACTTCATTCGTGCAAAGTATGCCTTCATAGAGTTCATGGGTACCAGATAGCTGAGATTTTGCCTCATTTTTTAGGGCCTTTTTTCATCTCTGTAAATGGCTGAACTCTCACTTAGTGATTGATCCCTTTGGTCCAGGTATGTTGAGAAAAGATGGGTACCTCGAGATGAAAAAATGAGATCACCACAAAGTACGAGTGGAGCTAAAACTCCTGTCTATAAATCATCACCTGATAATGGTCACCGCAGTGGCTATTCAAATAGGATAGAGCACCCTCCAGCTGAGAAGAAAAATACTCATTCATCCAATGGAGATGCTAGAGTAATTGCCTTAGAGAATAGTACTTTAGCACCTGCTAAAGTAACACCACAGGTAAACTCCATTTTGGCACTTGGTTTTGTTGTGTCTTCGTTTGAGATGTGCTTCTCTCGATTAAAACGGTATGCTTGATCCAGGGCTGATCCTGTGAAAAGGAAAATATTATTTTGAAGTTTGATCCATTCCATTTATTTACCTGAAAACAAAGAGATCCTTATTTTGTATAATGAAACGGTTTTAAGTTAGTTAATGCATTGTGTTTTTTGGGGCTTGAGATTTTCCATTGGTAGTGTAAGCAAATCCTATTTGCTCTTTGCCCTCCTTTTGTCATTTCAAAATTTCACCATCCTGTGGAAGTATCAAACATTATTTTACAAAGAAAGAAGACTCAAGAATGCAAGTACCTGTATACTTGTTATTGTCAGAAAAAGCATCTCTTTCAAAATTGCTGAAATTGTTTCGATTGCCTTGATACTTGAGCTGCATGTAGTACTCTATACTTGATTTTTTGAGTAATATGACAAAGAAAGCATTTTTAGGAAATGTATATGTCATTTTCACATAGCAATCGACAAATTAAAGAAGTTTGGAATTTTAGTGCTAAGACAACTGGCGCTGTGAATAGGTAGTTGCCAAAACCAAGCCACAAGACAATCTGGAGAAACATGTACCAGAAGTTTCCAAGGCTGAGTCTATGAGAAAAGGGGCGGAGAAACCTAAATCAGAAGTCCCCGAAGCTGAGTCTACAAAAAAGCCAGCAAATCTTCCCCCAGTTGCCCCACCGGCCAAAGTTGATTATGCTACTGAGCTTTTCAATTTGCTCAGCATGGACAATAGTAAACCAAATGGCTCCCATCTGGACTCTGCCAATGGCAATCCAAAATCTGGGATTCAGGATCTAAAAGTAAACTCTCGGATAGCGACTTCATACCATTCAGAGAAGGTAACCGCCAGTATTCCCTCGTGTTAAAAAGAAACCTTATGGATCACCCATCATTTATTTGAACTCTTTTTCTTGAGCTGCTTAGGTCTGTTCATTTATTTGAGTCATTTCTTGATACTGTTGTGCTTCCTATAGGAATCATGTTAGTCTCTGTTTCTTAGTATTCTTGATTTTGTGCAGTCCAACCAAGTGTCTCCATTCTCTATCCAACAACAACAACTACTTCCTGTCCTATCTCAACAACAGTCCTTCCTGGGTAATGGAGTCCAATACCATAATGTGAACGTACCTCAGCCCAGCTTGAATGTTGCCCCAACAGCGTCTCAGCAGTATAGGGGAATCATTACTCAATCTCCTGTCATGATGTCGTTAGCCGAAACACAGAAAAATATGCAGGTTTAGATAATCTGAAGTTTCCCTTGCAAGTTTTGCGGGATTCACTTCGCTTTTTAACCTTTTTGGTGAGAAGAAGAGTACTTACCTCGTTATTATTTCCCTGTACCAGATGGCAAATGGCCAACAGGCGAGGCTTGTGGGTTCAGTTGCTTATCCACCTCAGAGGTAGACAGACTCAAACTTAACCCCATGTGATCGTTTTCTCTTTTATATATTTCAACTGGGTTCTTCCGGATATCTGTCTAGACAATCTGTTAATTTTTGTATGATCGTGCTCACGTTGTGATTAGTTAGTACTTAGCACAAAACGGTTTTCTAGTGCCATTTTCACCCTAAGATCAACTTTTAAAGGTAATAACAGTATTTTTCTTGTTCAAATAGATCCTACATTGGTGGGCCAGGAGCTCCAATAAATGGCGCTACAAGAACAAATTTTCCTCAGCCCACGACACGGCCAAGACCATCCATCACCCCGACTCCATCCGGGCATGATTACGACTTCTCATCTTTAACGCAAGGACTATTTGTGAAACGGTGATAAATAGTTGCACGTGTGAATATTGAATTCCTTCTTTTTCTCCTTTTTCATGAGGATCTATTGGTTGATTTGCATGGAAATAGCACACTAGATACTTTCTTCCAGGATGGGGTGTTCATAATTTGGGGGGGATAGATATCATTCTTGATCTGGGAAGTGGGACAATTTATATTGGTATCTGCTACAATAAAAGTGGGTTGCTGTGTTCTTCGTTTTGTTGAGTAACACTGAAAGGGGCAGGATCTATTTCAATGCCTGTACCTTTTGTAAATTAAACAATTCATTCTGACGTTTCATTCTGCTAATCTTTTGTGGTGATAGAACCTTAGGTCACATCTTACATGGAGGAGAAAGTATGCTATGCAAAGCTGATATCACATATCACGCTCGCGTGGTATCATCAATGAATTGAATATCCTTATCTAGTTTCCTTTCGACGGTAATGAATGCACGTATTGAAAACCAGAGTACTTCTTTCGATCTGGTAATAGTACATAAGCGACTGGCGTCGTTTCATTTCGGTACTACATGATAGAATGTTCTGACTAAGAAAAGGGTAAATCTCAAATCCATATTACTATATCTGTGTGTAGTGAAGAATGCCAGGGATTGACCTTGTAAGGCTTTCGGAGCACTACAAACAGCTGAAGAGGATGCTTGTAAGGCTTTCGGAGCACTGCAAACAGCTGAAGAGGATGCTAAAAAGTTATCATCTAAAGTGAAATGATACCTTTTGAAGAAGAAAGATTCACAAAATTTGCTCCATCATAGATTTCTTGGAACCCAAGACAGAACAATTTAAAAGCAACCTTAAGCGAGATTAAAATCAGCTTACTTAGACATTATCGTATTCAAACTATGTGAAAACGCGATGATTGCTAATAAGATTGACAAATATTGAAACTTGGAACAGAAGACTCATACCTTCGATGTACGAGTTATTATTGTAGTCGTGCTCTATAGAGAGTTTTGGCTTAAACAATAGTATTTTTCAAGTTCAAAATCTTTATATGTGGCAATTTCTATCTGAAGTTTGGGGATAAATAAATTCCAATTTCTTTAATTAACAATAACTTTACTTTTTTTTATAGCAAAAGCAACAATTTGACTTATCATCACAAAAGAAAAAAAAAAACAGAGTCAAACTCATGATTATTATCACTGATAAAAAAATCCATAACCTCGTTAAACTTGACTTCAATATATACTTATGAATAAGAATGACAAATCTTCCAATTTATATATAACTAGTAATTTTGCTCGAACACATTGCACGTAATTAGCAATTTGAGTGTCGTTTCATTCGTAGATCAGAGGCTGCGAGGCAATACCTTCCTGTTTCTGGCCCAGAGGGATCGCTGGCAGATATTAGGAGAACAAAGCCAGGTAGCTTGGTGATGCCACACTATCTTCTGCGGGTACCGGGAGGTCCTATTCCTAATGTTCTTGATTCGCGTCGCGTCGGCAAGTGCAGTGCAGGACTGCTTAGAGCAGCAAGGTTCCTAGTAAGTTTCAGGGAGGCGCAGGCAAAGCCCGAGGGCTGTGCAGTGGCATCGAAACCTGTTTATCTTGTGGATGTTTTACGAGATTTCGAGGCCGTTCAGTGCCCAATAAGTAATGTTAGTTGCAGCTTCTGCATGTCTCTGTTGTTGTCTTAGCAGTTCAGCCGCAAACTCTAAACTTTCTGATGGAGGATGGTAATAACTTTGCATCTTGGACTTGTTTGAGGTCTTCAGAATCAGGTGCTTGGTTAGTATGTCAAGTGTTAATGTTTCGCGACTCATCCTGTTCATGCTTCGGCGACAGCTTGTGACGGCAAGCTGATCTTTCGAATTGTTTCGTGACTGGTCTCGCAGTTCGTGCAGGAATCAATACCAGGCATTGATAAATCACTATTTCGAGCAATTATAAATTGCTATTTTTCCGAGAGTGAAGAGAAAAGTGGAAAATGGAACAATTATTTCTACAACCTCAGCCATTGATATCTTGCTTAATTTCAATTATCTAAGGGTCACTATGGTCAATTTATACTTGCCTATGCTTTGAAAGAGCATCCAAACACCGTTATATACTACTAGACTATCTCAAACGAGTTCCTCTCTTATCTTATCACAAATGAATCTTCAAAGGCTACCATGGGTCTGCTTCAATTGCGCCGCGCGCAAGCAATGCCTAGACAACCGTATCGTGTTACGGAACAATCTAAACATGATCGGGGGTGAGCACGAGGCGAGGTTGACCCTCAAGAAGGTCCCGAGTTGAACGGGCGAGAAATAATTTTTGTAGATGGTCAATGGCTTTTGTTTTTTTTTTTTTAAAGTATCAATTCTATTAAATTTTCATATTATGCAGGGATTGTAACTTTTCATGTAATTCTAGTAATTTTTTAAAATGGGAAATAATTTTCAATACGTTAGTATCCACACTTAGTAAGTTTCATCTGAAGTTCAAGAAGTCTTCATAAGGTCATTTTCGCATCTCTGTAGCTATTACAAACCGGTGCAAAAATCAAACTTTCGTCCTATAAAACACGTCAGGTTAATTCAAACTTTCCCCTCATAATTTCGTGATCATGTCACCTCAAGTGACTAGAGAACTTTAGACTCGTATGTCTCTGAGGAACGATTGAACGAAAAGCAAGATTGGAATTTTCGATTAGGACCGTTGTTGAGCTAGAGCTCGTCAAGATTCAAAGCCCACACACAGTTCACTCGGAATTTCCGACGTTATGGTCGAGAAGGCCGATCCATCTCGTGACCCGACCCGAGACCACGACATGACAAGACAAGACAGGGCAAAAGAGACAGGTGGCCACATCTATCAATGACGGCGAATCTTCTCCTCCTCCCCCTCGTCTGCCTTCAGCTTCTTCGGCTTCGCTTTTGGACATCGGCCGCCTGTCGCCTGGTCAGCTCTTAATATTTTAGCGAAGTACAAATCCAATCCACCCTCTCCAGGCAAGAGAAGATAGAAATGGAAAGTGACCCTCCTCTTTGTGGTTTTCTTGCCCAATCGTCTCAACTTGCGTCTCCCTCTCTCCCTCTCTCCCTCTCCCTCTCTCCCCATCGCATGTCGGCCAAAGGGTCCTTCCGTCTCCTCCCGAAGGTGAGATCGACGCCCTTCTTATCGCTGTTCATCGTCTGTTCTTCCGGGTTTTCGAGGGCTCCTGTGGTAGGATTTGTGGGTTTGGGTTCTTGAATCGGCGTTGATTTGTGCTGGGGTTGGTGGGTGGGTGTGTGTGTGCTGGGTGTTGCTTGTTGCTCGTGTTGAGCCCCCCGTGCTGGTTGTTTGTTGGTTGTTTGGGGTTTTTGAGTAGTGGGTATGATGGATAACGCTTACTGGAGGCCGGTGCCGTCGGGCAGCGGAGGAGGCTGGGCCACTGGAGCTGCGCTTGATGGGGGCGATTGGAGGGATGGGTTGCCGCCCGACTCGCGGGAGAGGATTGTCAACAAGATGTGAGTGCTCCTTCCTTTGCTTGGGTTTTGTTTATCGTTTTCGTAGGGAATATGTGAAGTTTATGATGGATCGTTGCTTAGGGACGATTTCCGAGGGTTTAGTTTGTTGAAGAAGTAATGGTTTTACAATATGGTCATGTTTTTTGGTGGAGGCGCAACATTATTCTGAGGTAGCTTTCTCTGAAATTTTCTCTCGTTGGATAGTTTAGTCTTGGTTAGGTTTTATTGTGGGATTCAGCGGGTATGTAGGCTGATAGCTCTTGTTATATTGGTGGTCATATAGCAGAAGCAGATGGTTTTGCTTAGGTCCCATCTTAATTTGGATGTATTTCTTTCTTAATTGAATTGGCCTTATCTTCTAGTTTTGTTTACAACCAAGAGGGTTTCCACAGTATGTAAATGAACATAATTGCAGAGGTAAATCCGTCTGGTTTTCGGGCAGGAAAACAGTTACCGGATGATCACCTGTTATGCTCGGGACAAAAAATTTACTTATTCAGAACCTAAGGATTTTAGGGCATCTTATTGCTTGTACACTGTATTATTTCAATTAATCTCGAATTTATTTAGTCCGTATAAGCCGTTACTGGAAGAGGTACATGGGCAATCATCGGGTTTTCCCCTCTCCAATTCAATAGCGTTATATTTCTCAGAGGTACATTGTCACTTTTGTCGTTTGTGTTGGTTATGGAAGTGTTGAGCAAGATGCTGACAAAGGTTAGATTAGTGGTTTCACGGTTGACAATGCTTGTAATGAAGATTCCATATTTCCTTTTTCATTTGCGGATGACGCCATAATTTTCTTGGAGTATGACATCGAACAAATTTTACACTTGAGAAGCATACCGTTATGTTTTGAGGCTGTTTCTGGTCTGAAAGTGAATTTGGGAATAAAGTGAAATGACTCCTGTGGGCGAGAACATAAATTTGCAAGAAATGTCTCGGATTCTTGGTTGTAAGGTTGCCAACATACCTATAAAGTACCTGGGGTTTCCATTGGGATCCACTTGCAAAGCAAAAGCTGCATGGAATCGGATGATACAAAGATTTGAGAAGAGTTTAAGTGGGTGAAAGATGGCTTATTTGTCCAAGGGAGGTAGACTTATGTAGATGAAGCTTGGGCTTTCTAATATTCCGGTTTACTTTCTTTCTTTGTTTCCAATCCCTATTTCAGTGACAAAAAGACTTGGGATCATACACAAAAAGTTTCTTCGGGGGGGATTGAGATGACAGTCCGAGATTTCATATAGTTAATTGGAGTATTGTAACACAACCAGTTGCTAATTGGGGTGGGGGGTGGTGGGGTTGTGGAAGCTTTGCTTGTACAATGGTTGTGGAGATTTAATGGGGGAGAAAACTAGCCCTTCGAGGAGGGTACTCGTTGCAAAATTTGGTTTGGAAGATACAGAGTGGATAACAAAATCTAGTGGATAAGCACATGGAGTCGGGGGCTTTGGAAGCACATTAAGCAAGGATGGGATGCTTTCTAAAACGGACTTTCTATTAGAGTGGGAAATGGTGGGCATACTATGTTGCGGGATGGCTTCTGGTGTGGAGACACTGCTTTCAAAGACTTATTCCCAGATGTGTTTGCACTAGCAAGAAACAAGAGGGCCCATTGTTGGAAGACTGACAACAGAGAAACGGTGTGGTAAATTAATATCTTACATAGGGCTCAAGATTAGAAGCTCAAAGCTTTCTCGTATGTTTTGAGTTGTTGTATCGAGCGGTGTTATATGTGAGTAGGCTACAGTGGAATTGTTGCACCGCTGGAACTATTTTTGTCAAATCCTACTATTCCGATCTCGTTTCTACTCAGATGCAATTACAACAGAGCACACTCTTCCCGT